GGCATTGATGCCTCGGTCATCGGTGGATGAAGACTCGTCCCATCATACGACTTGGATGGGACGGGAGCTGACCCGTGGCTGGGTTGCGAAACATGCCAAGGGTGGAGCTGGCTTGTTGGAGAAGGCTTGGTGTGCCGGGTTCGTCTGTCTTGAGCTGTCGTCGGGGCCGAGTCGAGGAACTAGGCCGGGTCGGAGAGTTCAGCCGGGTCGAGGGTCTTGGTCGGGTTGAGCAACCCGGCCAAGTGCGAGCCGACTTGAGGGGTGATGCTGACCCTATTGTTTTTGAAAAGGATCCGGGTTCCGTTGCCTGCCCGGGATTCATCCCCCCGACAAGAAGCTCCTTGACCGGGTTGTGGCCATGGCTGGCAAGCAGCCAGACCTGTCACCGACCCCAAGGAGTCGGAGACCCAGGGCTCCTTCCAGACGGTAAAAGAAACCAAGAAGATACCCTTGGACCCGGACCACCCGGAGAGGTTCGCCCTTGGGAACCACCCTTGACAGCAAATAGGAAAGTGAGCTCGTCGATTTCCTCCGTGAGAATCGGGATATCTTTGCATGGTCCCCCAAGGACATGTCGGGTGTTCCGACGGATTTCGCTGAGCACAAGCTACATGTTAGAGCATATGCAAAACCATTCAAGCAACCCCTCTGCTGACTGTCAGAAGAAAAGAGAAGAATTGTTCATGAAGAGATAACCCGGCTCCTAGCAGCCGGCTTCATTATGGAAGTATTCTTTCCAGAATGGCTTGACAATCTAGTCCTTGTACTGAAGAAGAACAACAAGTGGCACATGTGCATTGATTATACCAGCCTCAACAAAGCTTGCCCCAAAGATCCGTTTGCCTTGCCTCGGATTAATCAAGTAATAGACTCCACAGCCTGATGTGAGTTGTTGAGTTTCTTGGATGCCTACTCACGGTACCACCAGATCAAATTAAACCCGGCAGACAACCTTCATCACGCCATTCGGAGCCTTCTGCTACCTGACCATGACATTCGGCTTGAGAAATGCCGGTCCCACCTTTCAGCGTTGCGTGCAGAAGTGCCTCCTCAAACAGGTCGGCAGAAATGCCCACGTCTATTGTCGGATTTCGGGTTCTGGCAGACCCTCTAGGTTCGAACTCTGGGGTGCACGTGGAGATCGCACCTCCTACCTACCCGTGTCTCGTCGCCTCGTAAAGATCTAAACTACACGAAGAACAACACAAGGGACACGAGGTTTATACTAGTTCGGGCCACCATTGTGGTGTAATACCATACTCTAGTTTGTGGTGTGGTGGATTGCCTCAGGGGCCGATCATGAACAATACAAGGAAGAACTGCCTCGCGAGGGGTGTTCTTGTGTTGGTGGTTCTGGCTAGGGTTCTACTGCACGATCTCTCTGATCGATCTCCAGATGCCCAGATGCCTCTACCCTGGGGGTGGCTAGTCCTATTTATAGGCGGAGGCCCTGGGCCTCTTCCCAAATATTGAGCGGGAAGGGCGGCAACAATTGGCCATTTTGAAGGGGAACATCTAGTACACTTATCCTAACTAAAGTTGGTCCTGGCCTGCCAAAGACTCTGGCGGTGACGCCGGCTTGGGCTCCACGGTGACCTCCATCATGTCGTTCTGCTAGTCTTGGTCTTGTTGCACCGAAATGGTTGCCTTTGCTTGATACTCTTGCCTTCGCTTGCTCCCTTTGCACCAAAGAGAAAACAAGGACTCTGCGCAGGCCAGCGCCCGCCTGGCGCCCGCCTGGCTTGGGTCGTCATGGCTTGCGTCACGGGCACCTCGTGAGGTACCCCTCCTTGATCTCTCCGCCTCCTCGCGAGCCAGCCTGACGAGGCCGTGCTTGAGGAAGCTTCCTGTCGTCCGCCCCGCGAGGCTTGGCCCCTCGCGAGGGTCTTGAGCTCGTGTTGATGAAGATGGGCCGTACTGGGCCGCCCCTTGAGCCACGCCGCAGGCCGCAGGCAGGCAAGTCTGGGTACCCCCGTTCCCAGAACGCCGACAGTAGCCCCCAGGCCCAAGGCGCGCCTGGACTTGGCCCAGCAAAGAAGCGAAGGGGCAAGTGCGAAGCGCCGCGGGCCCCAACAGTCTGCGGCCTTGGGCGCTGCGTGGTGGTTGATTGGACGTGGGCGTCCCCGCTTTCCCATGACGCCTCGGCAACTGCACGAATTGACAAGTCCCTGCATGCAAAAATGGGTCATGATTACCTGTGATCGTGGAGGCCGACAATTGGCCTCCTCCGTCTATATGTACGGAATGGCGAGAGCCTTTCCAGTCCATCCTCTCTTGCTGCTCTCCATCTCCTTCTTGGTTTCTCGCCTCCCCATGGCCTCGCCGAAGAGATTTTCGGCCGCGGAGAAAGGTAAGGCTCACCGGGAAGGACCGGGTTCTCCGCCGGCCAAGCGCGGACGGGGCCGCCCTCACAAGTACCCTTGAAATTCTGTTGGGAGCGGTACGCATGCTAATGAGGCTAAAACCTTCAAATATCTCAAAACAAATGACCAGTCGCAGTGAGGTCGACTGTCATTCTCCAATTATATGGAAACTCAAAGGCAAGCACCCGTAGATACTTAAATTGTGAAAGGGGAGGTGTGTATTGGGACTCTTCAAATCATGCATATGATCGAACTTGTGACATGCCAGTTGCAAGGGTCTCCGACGTTGCACCACCTACACCTGATTGAAGAGATAATCGATGAACCTTGTACTCGTAGCCGCGCAATTTTGTCATGTCTTCATAGCTATGTGCCACACTAAAAAATATATCTTATGTATTCTTGCTTAGGATCAAATCAAGCATCATATCATGTACTCTGCAAGAAAGTACCTCCCTATGATATGTGTTTACGTGCTGAATCCGACTTCTATTGACAAGCTCATTGAAATAACTTTTCGCAACATCATCCAAATCTGCTCCACGCGAACTACAGACAAAGCCCCCGGCTATCCATTGCCGAACCAGGTCATCCCTCTCAATCTCACGGTCTTCTAGATACATGCCAAGATACAAAAAACATGTCCGGAGATAAACATGAAGATGCATGTAGCTAAGGTTCAGTATACCCTTTATCTCTTCCAAGGTGGGTTTTGTGGCAGACTTGGTATTAAGCGAATTCTTTATGCTCTTCCATTCACTCAATTGTCTTGCTTCATGGCTCGCTAAATAGGCAAATCTATGGTGATAATAGACAATCTTCACTGGAAAGCTAATATTCCACTACCAATTCCGAGAAATTTCATTATACCAATTCCTATGAATTATGTATCTTCTCGGAAAAAGAATTTCATGACACTAGTTTGGGAAATTTTAATCTACATACAAACAAGAACGTTTTAGTATTATTTATCTTTAGAATTAATGCAAAATAAAAAATAGTATTTTTTAAGATATATTCATTGTCTATGAAATTTGTTAATGTGTATCACTGTGGTTGTAAAGATTATTTAATCAGATTAAAAATATTATATATGAATGAGCAAACTATTTCATGAAACTTATTTTTGATTAATAAAACAATAATTTTGAAAAGAGAGTTTCCGTTAATCCCAAGTTTGTCTCCATTTTTATAAACAGCATCAAAGGAAAAAGATAGTACCGCACATTTGTTTAAAGTGAAAATTTCAAAATGGAAATACATGAAAATAAAACAAATATGATATGAAATAATTAAAAAATGTGGAGGAGACATAGGGAAAGTAAATAAAAATATAACCATGAAAAGGGAAGGATTTGTTTTTTGAGAACTAGGAAATGTATTTTTCTGAGAATAAGGGAAGAAAAAGGGATGAGGCCACGCACATAGAGAAAAAGAAGTCCATTAGAGCCCATTCTGACTAACCACGACAAGCAGAGGCGATCTCTTGTCTCAAAAAAAAACCGGAAAGACTAACACCCCAATGTGTGGGCGCAACTCGCCCACACGCATGGATCCTCGTCCAACCAATTCTGCACGAATCTTGGCGTGTTTTAGCAGTTTTTATGTGCCACGTAGGACTGGGCTGATGTGTGGGCATTCATCCGGTCGTCCACACGTACTTTTTCACCACATGAAGGCTGGTGTGTGAGCATTTAGCAATTCGCCCACACACCAGTTTTCACGCACGCAGAGGGGTTGGTGTGTGGGCGTTTATCACTTTGCCCACACGCTCGACTTCTCGCCCACACCAAAGCTGTTAGTTGCCATGTATTTCTGCAGGGTACATGGCAACTGCCATAGCTTTGCTTGTAAGCAGATGGCAACTTTCTTTTATCCGAGTTGCCATGTGTTTTTGCTTGGTACATGGCAACTGACCTAGCGTACACGTAAGCAGATGGCAACTCTTTCTTTTTACATGGCAACTGCCCTAGCATACTTGTGAGCACATTGCAACTCTCTCTTTTTACCCGAACATGTTTTTTTGCCATGCCTCTTTTGTAGTGCTACATGGCAACTGCCTAGTGTTGGTAGGCGGCAACTCCTAAAATTTTGAAATCATGGCAACTGTAGTAGACCAGACCATACATGGCAACTATCTAGTGTTAGTAGGTGGCAACTCCTAAAGTTTTGAAAATCATGGCAACTGCAGTAGACCAGACCATACATGGCAACTGCAGTTGAGCAACCATGACAACTGTAGTTGTCCGACATGGCAACTGTAGTTCAGCGACATTGCAACTGCAGTTAAACAGACATTGAAGAGGGTCCGGACCATGGCAACTGTGGGGACGTGTGGTGACTGTCACGCGGCACGTGCGGGACCGTGAGGTAGGTGGCTGAGAGAGATCATGTGGGCATTATCTATTTTGCCCACACGTAGGCGTGTGAGAGGGACCGCGAGAAAAAAAATGCGTGAGGACGCTAGTTTGTTTTATCCACACGTAGACGTGTGGGCTGGTCCTCTTAAACACCACACAAAGCGTGTGGCCAGATCTCTTAACGCCCACACGTGTGGGCGTTATCAGCATCCAAAAAAGCAGAGGGGATCTCTGTATCGCCGCCGATGCCGTTGTTCTCGCAGCCGCCGGCTGCGCCATGCTCCGCCTCCGAGAGTGCGTCATTTCCCGTCTCCTCTCTTCCCCATCCACCTCCACCTATGCCATCTTCCCACTCTGTCGTCTCCTCTCCGCCGCCACGCCCCACATTTCCCCATATCCCAGTGGCTTTACCATGGAGGAGTACCTCATCGACACCTGCGGCCTCACCCGGCTCCAAGCCCTCAAGGCCTCCAAGAAGCTCTCCCACCTTAAGTCCCCCACCAAGCCCGACGCCGTCCTCGCCTTCCTCGCCGGCCTCGGCCTCTCCGGCGCCGATGCCGCCGCCGTCGTCGCCAAAGACCCGCGGTTCCTCTGCGCCAAAGTGGACAAATCCCTGGTCCCCGTCGTCGCCGGGCTTGCCGGCCTTGGTCTCCTGCGTCCTGAGATCGCCCGCCTAGTCTCGGTTGTCCACTGCTACTTCCGAACCAGGCCCATCGTCTCCAAGACGCACTACTACCTGCCCCTCTTAGGCTCCTTCGACAACTTCCTCCGGGCGCTCCAGCGCTCGTCCTGCCTACTCTCATCGGACCTTGGCAAGGTGATCAAGCCCAATGTCATGTTCCTGCAGGAGTGCGGCCTAAATGACTGCGATATTGTCAAGGTGTGTATCCCTGTGCCGAGGATGCTGACCACCAACCCAGAGCGTGTCCGCGCGATGGTGGCATCTGCTGAAAGATTAGGCGTGCCTCGTGGCGCTGGGATGTTTAGGCCAGCGCTACAGGCTGTCGCGTTTCTCAACGAGGAGAAGATTGCCGCCAAAGTGGACTAATTGAAGAATACATTCAGGTGGTCTGATGCCGAAGTGAGCATATATTGCTCTCTGTAAGGCTCCGTATATCCTGAAGAAGTCGAAGGAATCTCTGAAGCGTAGGTCCGAGTTCCTCTTCTCTGAGGTGGGGTTGGAACCCGTGTACATTGCTCATCGGCCCATAATTCTCAGTCTTAGCCTGGAGGGCCGGGTCAGGCCCCGGTACTATGTTCTCAAGTTCCTCAAGGAAAATGGATTGGTAGATCGTGACCTGAGCTTCCATACTGCAGTCAATAGGTCTGAGAAGTATTTCGTGGAGAAGTTCATATGCCCTCAGAAGGAAGCCGCATCACACCTCGCTGAAGACTATGCAACTGCTTGCAAAGGGGAAGTGACAACTAATTTCAGATTTACTTGTACCAAAAATGGGCCAAGGAAATTGGTTACTGCTTATGGCACAACATAGTTTTCACCCTGCCTGCGTGTAAGCTGTTAGGTGTTCTTTGCCTAAGATGATTTGGTTGTTTTCTGTGGTATGCCTGTTACATCTTACATGCCAGTTAGTCATTGCTAAATGCTAACTCCCTATGAAACTGATAATCTGATTCCTGAACCCCCATATATGTTGATGTTGTCAGGCTTCCATTGAATATCATGGAAATTGGATGTGTGAGTGGACCAATTTTGTGATGAAACCAGCATTCATGAAACCAGACACCAAAAGAGTAACGTGGTGTCATTTCCCACCAAAATGTATCAGTATGATCTGCTTCCATGCCAAAATTTATCTATCATGCATGTTCTATTTTCATTTCATTGTCTCTTAGGTTCCTTTGTATGTCAATTAGTACTAACTTTGTTTGATGCTTAGGTTAGACTTCGAGACATTGAGACCTTCCACCTGCTGTCCGCCCTGTTACACAACACTGAGACCTTCCACCGGTTTTCCATTCTAACATAAAGAGTGGCTAATTGTTGTGTTTCGTGGTGTACTTATGTGTCCTGGTTGTGTGAGCAACAGGGGTAACCATCCCCACTACTGTCACCATGCCATTATATACAAACCTTTTCCCTGTTCAAACACATGGAAGATCACAGCCATTTAGATCTGATCAAGAAGAGAAAATTGCATAGATTAGTTGTATCGTGTGAAAGCTGCAAATGGCAGCTGCAGCTGATGATCAACAAGAGGAGAAACAGTATATATTTAGTGAAAACAGAATATGAGTTATTAAAAGTTATACGGTTACACCAAGGTGATGAAATGCCTATCTGTGAACTGGGCATCGACCAGTTGGCTAGTGGCGTGTGGCCTGCAGCACACCCAGCCCGCCACCCGCGTTCGAGCCTTTGGCTCCGAAGGGTGCTGTGCCTGGGTTGTCTCTTCTAAATCGAGAATACCACATTCTAGTCTCTGTTGTTTACTTTTTCATGCTCAGTGACTTGAAGTGAGGTACGTTAACTTTCTTTTCCTGAACTTGATCAAAACGGAAAAGAATGTACCACTTAGGCAAGATGTGCATGCTTGTGTTGACATCTGGTTATAGTTATATGGAGATAAATGTGTTCATATATGAATATGATACATATATCTAGGCCCATTACCAGTAGGAAAAAAATCACCCTGCATTTCAGATTCATAAACTTCTTAAAAGAGTTATACTTAAGCAAAAATAATAGTTAAGATAGGTTAATTTTTTCACTGGGATTAGACTTACGTTTTACTCAGAAGTTCCAGCTAACCATCTCTCAAGTAAAAGAAAACGAACCTAATCAGTCCGATGTAATTTTTCTGCTGCACTAGAGCATAATATGGTGATGCTGAATTACCGTATTAAGCATGAGTATATTTTTCTTAATTTGAAGCGGTGGACCACTGAAAGTGGTTTGCGGTTGCTAATAATGTTCAGTTCTGACTATTAAACATTCATTTTTGACTGAAAGAAGTGGATGTTTCCATTGATGTGTCAGGTCAAAAATGTAAATGTGATTGAGGCTGGTGAGTTGTGCTTTCTCAGGTTTACAAGCATTGTTCATAGAAACACAAAACTGAATTTATATACTTAGGCCTGCATGATTGTTTTCCTTTGGCAAGTTCACTACATCTGTTGATGCCTATTTGGGTGATTATAAAAAAAATCCAAATATATGATTTGAAACTTAGCATCTTCTTTTACTGTAAGATACTACACCCTCTGTTCCCAAATGTAAGACTGTTTTGGTAGTTCAGCTTAAACTGCCAAAACGTCTTATATTTAAAACCAGAGGTAGTAATATCGAGTAAATAGCAGTGACATTAAGTTCTTGGTATAGTAAGTAGTATGTGGCTGAAGACTAAAAGAATTGACGCTATCCTGTCTTACCACAGACATGGAGAAAACATGGGGTGCAGCTTAGTCGGGCTTTACTGTTCAGATGCCCATGAGTTTTCACCTTCTGTGTTTTGGTTGCACATTCTTTTCAGGTTTACTTTTCTATGAGGTGGGCCCAAACCTGCGTCGTGTTGTGCCACAGCAGTTCATTGTTATATAGCTTCTAATTTTCAGCATCAACGATTTAACAAAGTATCCACATCTTGCAAATGCACATCCAGTATCTGACATATACATTCATTTCTTTATCTACACTGGTCACAAAGCAGGATACCTATGATTTGGTGTTATAGCATGTTTCCTATAGTTATGGTTCTGCTTTAGTTATATACTATTGTAGCTAATATTGTATATTCAATTCAGTTCCTATGACTACAAGTAAAGTTCTGCTTTACTTGATGTTTTTGCAAATACTATGACTACAGAGTCTGACCATAATACGGTATACTAGACCATAAAAGCGCGCGTTGCCGCGCCCGCCCACCTTAGAGACATTTTCACGTAATAATAAGACATCTTAATGAAACAATGATAGAACTATATGAGAAAATTTAGATATTGGACTATTTGGAACCATCACAATTTTGTTCTGTCTCCCACCATATTATTTAAATATATCTTCAAAGTAACCATCCATCTAATTTTAGATTATGGAGACAGTACAAAAGTAAGTTGTAATATGTGCAAAAACTGGTCAAAATGAACTCATCCTTCACATGCATCATAGAAAAAGAACATCTTCACGTGAGTTTCCACACCCTTCTATCTAGAGAGAAACGTAATAATATCTGGGAGATTTGGACTATATACATATATAAAGATATAAGTTTTGGAGTGGTTGGGCTTTTTTAGAACCGTTCGTTGATGTCGATCTAACGGCAGACAAATACGAAGTACTGGGTAGTACTCCGATGAAAGTACGCGAAAGTACTAAAACGAGTGGGGCCAGTACTCGTGACAAGGTGGGGACGCGTTTTAATCTAGGGGCAGTTTAGTCCTAGGAAAATTTGCACGCGCCGCCCCTCTCGTCGAATGCATAACCGCCGCCATGGTGATTCACATTCCACAATTACTCATCGGCGGCCATCTCCTCCCTCTCCTCCAAGTCCACCTCAGTCATCTCCTCCTTCTTGCCGCTGCAACTTCGCTCCACTCAGGCAACCCCCCACCCACCCCCACCCCCTCTTACACGGCAGATCGAGCTGATGGCCGGCGACAAGAACACCGACTTCGTGCAGATCGCCGGCGGCGACCAGGTCAAGTTGGCCAGGTTGAGGGAGATCCGTTCTTGGTTTGACAACACAAGGCAGATGAACTGGACGGCAATGGCCACTCTCAAGAATATGACGAAGAAGGAGAGGGCAAAGCTTTGCCCCCCGCCTGCACAACCGATTGACAAGATCGAGATCCTCCTCTGGGCGATGGAGCAGGCCAATTCGTCCAGCGAGTGGACCAGGCGGAGGTGGTGGGCGTTCAGATCCAGGGTAGAGCATCCACTGGATCAGGAACCCACCGTGCACGAGGTGCCGTTGCAGATTGTGCAGCCTCCAACTGAGTCACCGGAGACTCCGAAGCGCAAGATGAGGAGGACAGTGGTCGCGACCTCGCTTCCCCGCCGTTCTCCACGCTTCCCTCGCCGCTCTCCTTGTCTGAACGGCGGCGGTAGCTATGTTTAGAGTAAGCTTCCTCACTCCTCATCTTCCTACTGCTCGTGCTTACATCGTGGTGATACTGATCGTAATAGCTCAGAGAAGGAATGCTAGATGGCATTTTAATCTCAATGAATTGCATGAATATTTGAGTACATGGATTTGGAGGATGGATTATGATGTATGTGAACCCTAGGCATCATATGAACCCTAGGAAAAATTAGTAATGTTCTAGTGGTAGACACTGAAATATTTCGGTACACACCGGTAGGCACTGAAATATTTCGGAACTGCCCTAGACAAAATTTGTAATGTTGTAGTGGTGGATACTGAAATATTTCGGTACACACCGGTAGGCACTGAAATATTTCGGTACTGCCCTAGGCAAAATTTGTAATGTTGTAGTGGTAGACACTGAAATATTTCGGTACACACCGGTAGGCACTGAAATATTTCGTTACTACAATTTCAGTACACACCGATGCACACTGAATTATTTCAGTACTGCAGTTTCAGTACACACTGAAATATTTCAGTACTGCAAATTCTATACAAAGTTGGCATTTTGTCATTTATGTGTGAATCAATCCATGCATCATATGGCATAACTTTGTACATGAGTTTGGGTCAATTTCATGTCTATTTATTGTTAAAATTATTGTCATGCCATGAAACACAAGACAAGTCACTGACCCAAGCTTGCAAAGATGACATATCAATGTTGCTGATATGCACGTTTTCACCAAGTCTTGTGTCTGAATTAAAATTGAGCATTTTTTTCTTGATGGTATCCATGGATCTAGAACTCCTATGAATTTGCTCATGTTGGATGTTTTATTCTCCATCATTTGTACTAGCATTCTGTGCGATTAGATGCCATGACAAGACCCCTGGCATATTTATTTTCTTGCCTCCAACATCACATGTGTGTTTTACAGGAAAAAACCTGGAGTTCACCAGGCTGGCTGAAGTTGTGAGGCTGGGAGGCTGATGGTGCTGC